TAGCTACAAGGCTCGCTTCCATATGTACCTATGTATCAAGAGTATTTAACTACCTAGGATTTAGTCAAGTTTGAATGAATGGCAGAGATATTCTAGAGTTAAACCATATATGCCCTGTCCATGACCCCGATATTATACAGCATCCTGACGCACGCCACCTCCTCTCGGCAGAGACCGCGGCAGAACAGCTTGTAAGGTAACATTTATTTATAACAAAGTTGTATCTAAGATGGTATAGCCTCAGCAGTGGATATATATATGGCTATCTTGCCGTAGTCATGTATTTAGGCGTACGTTTCGGTGGAGGTACAGGTGATAGATTAGTGAGGCGATCCCGCCGAATTATTCAATTGCGAGTATAGATGACATCGTCCACGGGGGCAGATTGGCATACTATATCCGCTGATATTGGGTTTCCAGCTCTCTTAATCGCAAATGTCATACTGATATGTTGTAGTATTCTCAAAGCGGCTTGAAAGCAGAAGTATAGCGGCACATATGAGTAAACCCCTTCTGGTTATGGGATAGCAGGGCACCGACCAAGGCGCCCCTGGCCGACACTGTCAGAGTCTCGAAACTGAGCCTCAGGAACTTCCCTCCTTCGACCCCAACTCGACGCAACAACTATACGAGGAGAAGAGACGGCACCACAGACGTTAAGTTAGGCATTTTCGTGCTGGACAGTGATTTGTCGAGTTATCCAGTGAATATCCCCGCTTCACATTTTTAGTCCCAGGACATCTGACTTACCCGAATGTTATTCCGATTGCCACGCCAACCCTTCTGAGGATGGTGTTCGGCTTCAGTGTCTTCTCTTGCGGGAGGGCTGGGTCGAAGAGCCGCACATACGAACTTTAGAAGACGTCGACCTTATCCCAACTGTATGAGCCCACAAGAGACCCACTCCGTGAGAGGTAGCAGAGAGGGAATTTGCTATTAGATGGAAAGATGATACTCATTGCGTTCGAGGTGAAGCAGTCTGACTTGCTCGCGGATATGGGACATGAATAGATATAGCTGCACGATGAAGCACAGTCATGAGTAGCAGGGAGGAAATTCCTCTCAACGCGAAGACCTGCTTGCCTTCAGCGTTTCGTTCCAGTACTTTCAAAGGTGCAAATTGAGGAACGAAGGCTCAATTCAGTAGCAGAGGTGCATTCACCACAGGCCCAAAGGGTGAAAGCAATAGGCCAGCCATATCGAGTAATAGATAAAAGGAATTCTCTCGAGGGTCCTAAAAAGTACAGAATGCGGGATTAGTTCAAACGGGCAGGACTTATTTCTTCGCAGTCTTGCTGCTGATGTGGCGCTTGAATTTGAGATTACCAATATTTGTTGAAGTTTACTCGAAAAGAGTAACCGTTCTAATGTTATCACGATGATTTCGACGTGAACTCACCTTCTCGGCTTTATTATGCTTCACTTTCTGAAATAGGTTGAAAGAAATAAGCAAACAATGAACAATGAACAACAAGAGTAAAGGGTCATCCTCATTGTCAACTTCAAAAGTTGCAAGGGAATTGGAAACTCTGACGTCAGGCGAAAGCCGGTGAAAACGGACCCGCCCCCACCTACCCTTCTTTGGTCGGGCGGACCCTGTGGCGGCCTGAGGCAGCGATTGGCTCCCCACAGCCATTATTATTATGGAAGATTTTACTTGTGAAAGGTCGAAAATTTCGACACCCCACTCTAAAGCCCCACCAGCCCACCAAGCCACCCACCAACGAGCCACGGCGTAAAGATACAAGCGTACCTAAAGGAACTTTTATCGCCCCCCGCGCAGATTCCTCCCACTTGTCATCCCAAACAACTCAACAACCCCGAAAAAAGTTTACGGAGGATAAATCTTTTTCTTTTTTTTTGTTTCCTACTGCTCGAGTTGTGGGAAACAGGTCATTCTTCCTCTTTCTGATAATCAACCCACTCTTTCACCGTCTCGATCAACCGGTCACATTTGCTTGTGATCGTGTGTCGCATTGTAATTGACGGCTCACGGTCGTCATCAGTAATATCACGGCAACCTAAGCGGGGTTAGACTTCTTCGATTTCTTCGACCACATCCGTCATCTTCATCGTCATTCCCCTGGTCGGTTATAGATAAAAAGAGAATCAAAGGCATCAAGATGGTTTCTGCATCCAAGGAAAAGAGACTCGCCAAGAAGGCCGCTGAGGGCAAGGGCGAGAAGAAGACCCTCGTCTCCAGGTCCAAGGCTGGTTCCAAGACCGCATCCAAGAATGCGAGCGCAGCCGGTTCCGTCGCCGGCGACGACACTCCTCCCAATCTCGACGATGTTCCCGCGACCGACGATTCGAAGATGGAGAAGGTCAAGGTATTGTCAGACCAGAAAGACAAACACGGCTTGTCCGACCGTATCACCACCGGTGTCTTAGCTTCCGTAGTCACCTCCAGGGATGTCAAGATTATCAGCGCCAGCTTAACCTTCCACGGTCGTGTCCTCCTAAACGAAACCAACCTTGAGTTATCATTCGGTCGCCGATACGGATTATTGGGTGAGAACGGTTGCGGAAAGAGTACCCTCCTCAAGGCTATTGCTGCAAGAGAGTACCCTATCCCCGACCATGTCGACATCTACCTCCTAAACGAAGGTGCCCCGCCCTCCGATCTAGGCGCTCTAGAATGGGTTCTCAAAGAGGCCGAGAAGGAGATGGACCGTCTGGATAGACTGGCAGAGCAGCTGCTCGAGGACGAGGGTCCCGATAGCCCTGTGCTAATGGACATCTATGAGGTATGTATACTCACTACACGACTTCGTATTTTATGCTAACGGAATGCGACAGCACATGGATAAGATGGATCCCTCGACTTTCGCCACCCGTGCTTCCCTTATTCTAACAGGTCTCGGTTTCAACAAGGAAACCATCCACAAGAAGACGAAGGACATGTCTGGCGGTTGGCGTATGCGTGTTGCCCTCGCTAAAGCCCTATTCGTCAAACCCACCCTACTGCTCCTTGACGACCCGACTGCACACTTGGATCTTGAAGCTTGCGTGTGGCTCGAAGAGTACCTGAAGAAGTGGGAGCGAACCTTGATCCTAGTCTCTCACTCTCAGGATTTCTTGAACGGCGTGTGTACCAACATGATCGATATGCGCAAGCAACAGCTCATTTACTACGGTGGTAACTTCGACTCTTACATCAAGACCCGCAAGGAACAGGAGACCAACCAGATGACGGCCTACAAGAAGCAACAAGAAGAAATCAAGCACATCAAGGAGTTCATTGCCAGCGCCGGTACATACGCCAACTTGGTGCGACAGGCCAAGTCCCGACAGAAGATTCTCGACAAGATGATTGCGGATGGTCTTATCGAGGAAGTCAAGGAGGAGAGAGAGTTCAAGTTCAGGTTCACCGATGTGGATAAGCTGCCCCCTCCTGTCCTGTCTTTCGACAATGTCACATTCTCGTACTCGGGCGAGGCTAAAGACGACCTCTATCGTAATATCGATCTTGGTTTTGATATGGACTCCCGAACAGCTCTTGTGGGGCCAAACGGTGTCGGTAAGAGTACTCTCCTGCGCCTGATGACCGGCAAGCTCTCTCCGACTGCTGGATCTGTCCGCCGCCACACGCATCTCAAGCTCGGTCTGTACTCTCAACACAGTGCCGAGCAACTCGACTTGACCAAGAGCGCTCTAGACTTTGTCCGCGACAAGTACCGAGAAAAGTCGCAAGACTACCAGTATTGGCGCCAAACCCTTGGCCGATATGGTGTTTCAGGCCCCGTGCAGACCGCGCTGATGGGCACCCTATCCGAAGGCCAAAAGAGCCGAATCGTCTTCGCGCTCCTTGCCATTGACTCCCCCAACATGCTCCTGCTCGACGAACCCACAAACGGTCTGGATATCCCGACAATCGATGCCTTGGCAGATGCCATCGACCACTATAGCGGTGGTGTGATTGTCGTTTCCCACGACTTCAGGTAAATATTTTCTCTGTCCTGAACCTATGTAAATAAATACTGACACGCGAGACAGACTCCTCGATAAGATTGCCAAGCAAATTCTGGTGTGTGAGAACCGAACGATCAAGCCGTGGGATGGCACGATAGGAGAGTACAAGAACTACTTGCGGAAGAAGATGTTGGCTGCCGGTGCAGTCTAAGATATGCTTCCCTTCGTTTTACAAACTTGCTCTGGTTGGCTGAGCGGACGCTACCGCTCGCTACGGATCTCCGTGCTGTAGCAGTGCGGGACTAGTGAGATATACATAGTGGTCGCGGCTCGCGGGTCTATAGATTGGGCAACGACGCATAGAGCCGCAGCCTAGGATTCGAAAAGCTTTGCTTTCAAGAGGGGCCCCTGCGAATGGCGGGGAGCCGGCGCCGACACGCGTTGATTTTCGCGCACTGGAATAGATTAGATGAATCAAAAATCGTTCTCATGCGAATATAATCGTAGTGGTGACAGTCTAGCTTATACATTGAGGCTTTCAGAGTTGATACTTACGAGTCTTCTCGCTATCCGCGAATAGCTACCTACCTTATTCACACATCCGAATATCTGTCCCCTTTAATAATAATGGCTTGGAGTAGGGGAACAAGCAAAGCCCTTGCCATGAAGAAGCAGTCTGAAGGATCTCACACGAGAATAGAAATATGTATCGTTCTTCGAAACATCTTGGACACGCAACTCAATGGCACATCCTCTCCGCGTAGTGACTGTCTGAGATACCTGTAGGTACCTAGGTAGTCCACTCACCACCCTCTAAACCGCCTATCAGAAACCGTTCTCCTCCGTGTCGTCTCGTCTCGTCTTGAATAAGCCTCCTCTCCCAACCCATATACATACATACTACTCAAACCCAGACCCTAGGATAACTAGTGCATGGATCCATAGATACCCACATGGCACGGCAAACTTCTCACGACGAACCCGCCACGGCCTCCTACCACCACTACCACTACTACCGAACCCGCCATCACTACGCCTCTAGGGCATAAGGCTAACCAGACGATGCCGCTACTATCCGACGAAGGATAGGCCGCTTGGCCCAATGGTTAAGGCGTCTGACTACGACCGAGCGCGGCGTCTGCGGAAAAACGTGCTTGAACGCGGGTAATCAGGAGATTCTGGGTTCGACTCCCAGGGTGGCCTCTTTTTTTCCTTCTTTTTCTACTCTTTGCCGTATCTTTTTTGTTTTCCTTTTTTTTTGTTTTCTCCTTTTTTTTTTGCGCGGATTTGCTTGCGGGCTTGGTTGATGTGGCTGTGGCTGTGGAGATTCGGAGATGGGATGGAGGACTGTGGGCTGGGACTTCCTTACTCACCGGTTGGTACTTTCATTTTGATACCTAAGCTGGATGTATGGATGAATGAATGGCGAAATGGGTGAGATTCAGGCATATAAGACTCAAGAAGGTACCCAAGGTAGATAGGATAGATGAGTAGGTACGGGGATGAGCAGTATCAATTTGCCTATATCACCTCTGCTCAAACCTACCTGTCAAGAAATTCGAACTACGGATGGATATCTACCTAGGCACGGAATAGTAAATTGATACATAGACGGTGAAACGACCAAAGCCAATGCGATTGAAAGATTTCGATTAGACTGTCGGGCACGAAGATCCCGAGACCGGCCGAGACCTTCATCGTTGCCTAACCCACAGCCTTATGACATCCACAGGAACGATTAACGGATTATCTCTCATCCAAATTGCGCTTCCTACAGTTTAGAATGATATGCTCATGACTTCGGTGGCATTAGCTAGCACATGTGCATTAGGCACCTAGTTCGGGAACCAAGGTAATCTACGTAGGAAGTAGGCATCATGTAGACACCACAAGTCGAGAGACAACGCTGGTCACCCTCACCACCCTCACCACCAGCGTAACTCAAATTCCGTTTCATTCAAAGCCTCAACAGGCATACGTTTGATTGATCGCTGACTTCGTCCCTCTATCGTAATCCTACAACGACACAAATGGGCCTTCAGTCCTCGAAGGAACTTTCGTAAAAACAGCAATCCGGTTTTGGTTCTGCAAAGTCTAGTCGCCTAGTGCGACAATTTTCGGTTCATCCCCTTCCTTTCGCTCCCCCTTGTGACAATGACAATTAACTAACTCTATGAGTATTTGTGTTCCTCCCGCCGACAGCACGCCTCTGCATGTAATGTTGCTGCCAATATAACGCCGCGAACCCCCTTATTTTGTACAAGGTCATCAAACTTCCGTTGCGAGAAGCGCTGTTTACGACCTGATAGAATTGTAGTTGGTGGACCCACATAATGGGTTAGATATCGATTTCGCCATCGGCGATGGCAAGTCGTTGTTTGGTTGTCTTGGCTTTCTTACTGCCTCCTTTTCGCTTCTTAGCAGCTTTCGTATCTCCGGTCTCCACAGGAGTAGCAGTGCCAGAAGGTTTGTTGCCATCATCGAAATGACCCTCGCCTGCAACGGCACAGTTAGTATATTCATCTCACGGTCTGACGCGATCCATGCAGGAGATCACTTACCCTCATGATACATCTCATCCAAGCTGACTGCCTCCCGCTTCCTCTTGTTGCCGCCTCGCTTCTTGTTTTGTTTGTCCAGCTCGCCGCTTTCGAGTAATTCCTTCTCGCGTTGTTCGATTAGCTCGGCTTGCTCATCGTCGGCAAGCCACATAGCAATATCGCGGTTGCGATTCTCGGGTGGGCGACGACCACTAAAGTCAACACCACGAGCCCCACCTCCTTGGATGACAACACGTTGGACCTCTTCTTTCTGCATCGCGCGCTTACGAATACGTTCCTCAATGGTACCGCGCGTGATGAGACGGTAGACTGTGACTTGCTTCGTCTGGCCCAGACGATGGGCACGATCCATAGCCTGAGAGTCAATGGTAGGATTCCAATCGCTGTCGTAGAAGATGACCGTATCGGCGGATGTAAGATTGATACCAAGACCACCAGCACGAGTTGAAAGCAGGAAGACGAATATGTCCGGGCGCGTCTGGAAGTCGTGGACAGTGTCACGACGATCCTCCAGCTTCGTCGATCCGTCAAGCCGACAGTATTTGTAGTTGCGGTAGGTGAGGTATTCTTCCATAAGGTCGATCATCCTAGTCATCTGGAAGTACAGCAGTACACGATGGCCTTCCTCCTTCAGCTTGAATAACAGCTGGTCAAGCTTAGCAAGTTTTCCGCTGTCGGTGACGAAACGACGCATGCTGGGGACGGTAATATTCGTAAACCGTCGCTTCTCGCCGTCTGGCTGAGGTAACATCGCAGGCGGCGGGTAGCGTTCGATCGGAATCTTCTGTGACACAAGGGCCTTCTCTTCCGGCAAATTAGGTCCATAAAGAGTCTTACGCATTCGCATGTTAAATAGAGTATCTTCGCGCTCGGCAATCGGGGCTCGGGTACCCTCGCATGAGACCTCGATAGGAGGAGCGGAAGCACCAGGTAAAGCTGCTTGTTCAAGTCGACCAAGACCAGAATCTCGCCACGCCCCCTTGGAGATGTTCATCAGATTATCGAGCACGCCTCCACTTGTGATCTCAGCCAACGGCTTGCGGTCCGATCGAGCCGCGACCTGGAACAAGGCATGAGTGGGAGTATAGTTCTCTTCGCCCTCTTCATCGTATATAACGTTCATTCGGCCAAGTCGATTCTGCTTCTTGGCGAGGTCTGTAGCTCGCAAGAATAGATCTTGGTGGGTAGCTTTGTAGGCTTCCTCGGGGCTGATATCAGCAAACCGAAGGAAAGAGAATGCCTCGTTGCCGGATGCGTTTTCGCGTATGTGCTCTGGGGTCCAGATGTTCATAAGATGGTTCAGATATTTATTCCTGAAGCCAGCCTTCTCATTATCCTTCCCGGCTTTATACAATCGGCCACCTTCGCTCCAGACAAGTCGCGGCAGATTGTACTCGATGAGATTTCGACTCGAGTAGCCGACTGAGACATTATTTCCCTCTCGCACGAACGAAGCAGTCTCAGCAAAATAGCCGGTGAAGAATGGACTCGTCGTGTCCGCACGCTCAAATAAGTCAGGATGATTGCACACTTTTCGGAACTGCATCACGAGGTTCATTAGCGTGCCAGAATCCTGGTCATCTCCCAGGGTAGCCTTCTCGATCAGGTCCATGATACTGATCTGATTTCGCAGGTTCCTGTAGTAAGCGCGCTGTCGGTAGGTGAGTTCGCAGAACACGTCGAGCTCAATCTTGTCACCAAGTTCTTTCTGCACATGCTTCTTGACACGGCGCAACATGAACGGCTTGAGGATCAAATGCAGCCGCCTAAGCTGGTCCTCATTAAGGGTCGTGTTGCTTTGGGCGTGGGATTCGATGTCTTTGGAAAACCATTCGCTGAATTCATCGTGCGAATCGAATAACGAAGGCATGATGAAATGCAGAAGGGCCCAGAGTTCCTGCATGTTATTTTGAATGGGTGTACCGGTGAGAAGAAGTCGGTTACGACAGTGGAAGCCGAGCAGACACTTCCAACGGGAGCTTTGGGAGCTCTTGATAGCTTGTGCTTCATCGAGGATCATGTACTGCCAACGCATCTTCTGGAAGTAAGCAACGTCTGAGACTACGAGTTGGTAGGATGTAACCAAGACGTGGAAAGGAGCATCCTTCCGATAAGTGTTATGCTTGCGATCCCAGAACTTGCGCAGCACCTTTCGGTCGTTCGCGGTACCCCAATACGGGAGGACTTTAAACTCAGGGACGAATTTCGCGATCTCCTGTTGCCAGTTGTGCAGGGTAGAAGCTGGCGCTACTACAAGGTAAGGACCCCAGATGTCGTGCACCTCAGCGAGGTAGGCCATGACAGAGATAGACTGGACCGTCTTTCCGAGACCCATTTCGTCGGCCAGAATACCGTTGATACCCTGTTCGTAAAGGTTGGCGAGCCAGTTCAGACCCTTCAACTGGTACTCCTTGAGTTGACAGTTCAGCAACTTAGGTTGTTCGACAGTCACATCGCCAAGACCGGTCGGGTTCTGGAAGTTCATCTCGCCATCTTCATCCATATCGTTGTCAGTCTTGTTGAAGCTGCGTGCTTTCTGCTGGGCTTCCGCAATGGCGCTCTGAGCATTAGCCATGGCGGCTTGTCTTAGTGTCTCCTCATCCTCGGCATCGAAGTTCAGCTGGCTGAAATCTGTAACCTTGCCAGCGGGTGCATCTGCTGGTTCGTCGATATCAACATTAGCCGGCTTGGATGGAGCGTTGGCATCTGGTGCGATATCCGGGTTATCGGTGCTACGCTCCACTTCGTCCGTCTTGATCTTCTTTCCGATGAAGTGAGAGTACAGTTCAGTTTGTGAGATCAAGAAGTTGAGCTTTCTCTTCTGACGTGCAGCTTCGCGATCAGCTTCCTCCTTGCGGGCATTCTCCAGCTCTTGCCTCTCTGCCGCTTTGCGTAAGTCGCGCTCTTCGCGTTCGTTGCGCTTCCAAAAGCTCATCATATCGCGCATGCAACGCTTAGCACGAGCTTGAAGATCCTTTGTACCTTTATTGGTACGGAGCTGCCATCGTTTAGCTTCCTTCGAAGCTAGTATAGCAGTCTTCTTGAGGTTCGAAGCCTTCGTGGCATACGAGTCACAAGCCAGCTTGTACGTCTTTGGAACATCTTTGCGGGCAAGGTCGCGCCAGATCTGATCATAGATTTGGTTGTAGCCTTTGGACTGGAACTTGGTCTCGAGAGGATTAGGAGGAGGTTCTTCAACCGACTTCTCCAGTTCCTTTTGCTCCTTCGCAGCAGCGTCCTTGGCGTCCTTGTCCTTGTCTTTTGGTTCCTTGGACGAGGCCTTGCTTAGCTTGATTCGGATCTTGGTTTCTTCCTTTGAGGGTAACTCCTCGCCTGCATCGAGAGCAGCTTGAGCAGCGATGGCTGAATCTTTCTCTGCCTGCTTTTGCTCCTTGGACTTTTTCGGGCGATTGCCGCTGCGACCTTTGGCCTTGGCCTTGTTGCTGGCCTCCAGCTCCGTGGCCTGGAATGTCGACATAGTACCGCCCTCCAAGTTCAGCTCAAGCGACGCCAAGTTGCGCGCCGGGCCCTTAATACCCTTCTGCAGCACCAACTTGGTTTGCTGAGCCTTTTTATTGGCACGCTCAGCGTCCCGCAAGTATTTCTGACGTTCAGCCTCATCTTCGGCAGCGAGTGCCTTTG